GCCCGCAGGACTAGGACGCGCGCGGGGAGAGCATTGTCGGCGGAGAAGGACGAGGTATCGAAATCGACGACTTCCTGGTACTGGCCTTGGTGGAAATGGTTGTGAATATTGATCAATTCACCTTCTGCGGAATAGGGATCCATGATGAGCGACTGCTATGGTATTGTCTTGTCACCTTTGTTGGGCTCGGCGATAGAGACATGCGTTTGTTGGCCTTCCAGCTCATAGTGGGGTGCGCTGGTTGCGCCAGGGGCTTTGGGCAGTTGACTATGATGAAGCTGAGCTAACTGTTTTGGGAAGCTGCCGCAGTGCTGCTTTAGCTTACTCGAGGTGCCGCCTTGAAAAACTCGAATTGACATGTAATTTATATAAAGAAGATATGGGGATAGAGTAAAGTTGAGCCGTATACAAAATTCAAGTAGTATTCATATTTTAGTATTTTCAGTCGGCATGTCTTAATCCCCAAGTTGTCCTTTTTGTCCTTTTTGTCCTTTTTATCGGGCTTGCAGCAGCGCTGCGGACAACCAGTTCAGGATAATTGCGGGGCAGCTCTCAAGACTCTGAGTGCACACCCGGGAATTGAGGCATCAAAAGTGGTCGCGGGCCCACCCTCTCAAATACATCCAATCAGAGGCGGACGTTTACCCTAGTTTCCCACAAAGCGAGAAATCACCAAAACCTACCAAATTTCCATTGTGGCCTCGCAACTTCAGCATCACCAAACACCCAAATAACGACACCCGCACAACGTCGTCAAGATGGTAGGTCTCTCAAATGCTCTTCTACCCAACTCTGCACGCTCCAACGACAAGTCGATTTGATTCATCTATCGAATGGTACGAGTTTTGCCCACCGCCGCACGAATGACAGTTTCTCCGACCGATACATTCTTTCTCTGATGGCAGCGGCGGGGGGAAGAGTACGATGCTTCCCAGCCGCGGTTGGGCAATGTTTGCCCACGGAATACAGCATTTTCCATGAACGCCTTATATTTTTGACGAAACACTTCTCGCCTCGACAACTGTCTTTTCTTGCGCGGACTGGTGGCATTTCGCGTTTACCCCCCGATGAATCTAGACTTTGATCAGATGTGGGCAAATTCGGTTACGGCAGCGGCTGACATGTATTTTTCTCTCTCTGCAATTAGGTCAACATTCCCAAGACCCGAAACACCTACTGCAAGGGCAAGGAGTGCCGCAAGCACACCCAGCACAAGGTCACCCAGTACAAGGCTGGCAAGGCCTCGCTGTTCGCCCAGGGTAAGCGCCGTTACGACCGAAAGCAGAGCGGTTATGGTGGTCAGACCAAGCCCGTTTTCCACAAGAAGGCCAAGACCACCAAGAAGGTCGTCCTGAGATTGGAGTGCGTCAAGTGCAAGACCAAGTGCCAGCTGGCCCTGAAGCGATGCAAGCACTTTGAGTTGGGGTACGTTTTTTTTCCTTTTCGCTTCAACACGCGGGGACGCGGATATACTGACAGCGACATAGTGGTGACAAGAAGACGAAGGGTGCGGCTCTGGTGTTCTAAGTGCATTATGTTGGGCTCGCTCAATTTCTTATGGTTATCCTTGCGGCATTCGGGGCTATCATGGACACTGGCGAAAGGAGGGTACATGTCCTCAGTTTTAGGGGGGATGGTTCATAGGGAATGAATGAAAAAAGAGAATTCTCTGTGTCAAGAAATTGCGACGAAAAGATGGCTATGGGGCGAAGAATCTATGTGATGACGACGAGATGAACCAAGACGCAAGGGGCCAACCGAAGACGATGGACACTCGCGGCGACGCATGACAATCCACCCGTCGCAACGCGTTGGTTGTCGTACCATGTTACAAGTTACTCGTCTGTCTATGCCGGTCCGTCGCAAATCAAATGTCTGTAGTCTAGAATCCCTCGCCCAGCAAAATAGTCCTCCCACCGCCATACCACAGCGTGCCAGTTCTCGCATCCAAGCCCTTCTCGTGGCCAACGACCCATTCACCGATATACTCGGCATCCTTCCTGTCCCACACCTCCCTCTCCAACCAGGCGTTCACGTCGTCAACAGCAGCCACCCACGCGGCCCTCTTCTCCGGCGTGTCATGATCGGCCTCGTCCAAGAACCGGCCCAGCGTGACGTGCGCGCTGGGCACCTGGTAGCGCGAGCCGACCTGCACCCCGGCCTCGCAGACCTTGCCAAACACGTCCCGCCGGAGGTGGTGATACGTGTACCCGTCGCCCTGGACGACAGCGTCAGCCGGGGCGTCGGGGCGAGTCGGGCCCGGCGACAGCGCCTCCTCCCCCGACGCCGGCAGGAAAGACACAGCAAAGGCAGACGTGTCATACGACACCATGGGCTTGACGACCCGCGCGCGGTGGAGGCGCGTGTACGACACGATGCCCGGGATGCTGGGCCGCAGGGCGGACACCAGTCCCCCCATCTCCGCGGCGGTCTTGGAAAAGGCCACCTCCAGCGTCGTCATGTGCATCCGGTGCGTGGGCATCAGCCATATCCCTTTTTTCAACAGTGGTCAGTCTCGAGCCCCGGGGGCTCGTGGATTTTTCTTGCTGGCGGAAAGAAGACGAACCCGGGGCAGCTCTCCTCAGCAGATGCTGCAACTTGGCCGCCAGCCGGACGATGTGGTCGGGCGGCCGCGCCCAAAACACCAGACAGTTGCGCTCGTCCTGGAAGCCGGGCTCGACGTGCGGACGCTCCAGCCGCAGGAGGGTCTGGTCAATGGAGAGGCCGGCGAAGTCGGGGGCCAGGAACTTGTCCCTTTGCTCGGCGTTTCGCCTTGTACGGTGCGCAGAGTAGAGCAGCTGGATCTCGGCCTACAGAGACGTCAGGTGCCGTTGGAAGAAAAGGGGGCGGGGTGAGGAGGAGAGAAAGGGTTGACTGACGGGATCGTCGTGGCAGGCGTTGATGAAGGCCGAGTACGGGTTCTCACCGGGTTGGAGCGAGGCGGCAGAGAGATTGTCCAGCCTGCTGCTTGAGTCATTTTCAACACCCATGACGGGGACGGGGGTGTTTTTGTCTTGATGCGCTCCGGGGGAAAAAGGGGGTGGGCTTCGTTGTATATCGGCGAGGAGGAAAATAGACTGACTTGTTGTATACGTGAAAATGCGGCTAACCGTCGCTTCAGCCCTCGGTGACAGGGATGACTCATCTTTCCAAGAGGCCCATGTGCCGAAGACGACAATTGGGTTGGAGTTTTATTTTTATTTTTATTTCTATTCTGCTGTTCTTTTTATTCCGATACCGCCAACGGCCCCTATTGGAGCATGGCGATTCTACTCCCATCATGCATTGCCATGCACCAAGGCCAATTCCTTGCCCGACTTATCATCTGCGCAACGTGTACTCTCGCCGCGCCAACCATTGACCCGAGTTGACAGCAAACCACAACTTTTATATACTTGAGAAAAACGCAGCAGACAACTCGGTCTGTTCCCGCGCGTCCGAATTCACAACCTCTCCAGCCTCGCCCTCGGCACGGCAACCTCGAGACGCGGCGCCTCCCGCCTCCTCGTCTCGAAATGCACCAGCTGGCAGTCCTCGAGGGCGACGCCGCTCATAAACTGCGAAACCACAAAGTCCAGTGTCGTCCCGGGCGGACCCAAAGCCACCATGGGCGCATGCCACGTGCCGGCGCCGTACGTCACGGCCTGCGCGTCGGTGGCAACGAATGCCTTCAAGGCCCTCACGTCCGGCGGCCCCCTCCCGGGCACGTCGTCGCCGGCCGGGACGGGCAGGTGGTGGTCGGCCTCGCCGGGGGCCAGACTGGGCGCGACGACGACGAGGTAGCGCCTTGCCGTGGAGGCGACGGGCGAGAAGGTCTGCGTGGTGAAGGGGTGTCGCTCGAGGAGGCGCACGGTGAACATGTCCTGGGCGCTGTTGAGGGGCGCGAGGTCGCGCGCCGAGCAGACAAACATGCTCATGACGGCGTCGGCGCTCCCACTGGGCGACTGGGCGTAGAGGTTTCTGACGCGGCTGACATTGCGGTACTGGATGGCGTGGCCCTGGTTTGCGGACACGGCGTTGGGGGGCAGCGACGCCGAGCGTGACGAGAAGGCGGACGGGTGGACGTCGGGTCGCGGGTTGGCGATGACGCTGCCATACGGGAGGAATGCCTCCTGGGTGAGGGGCTGGGCCGTGACTCGGATTGCGTCGTCGACCTGGACCGTGAAGGACATGGTGGCGGCAGAGGTTCAGCGCGGGGAGCTTGTCGAGAATCGAGAATCGAGATGCGGCGGTTGACGGTTCTCGGCGGCTCTTTATAATACCCTCACGTGCTGCCCCAACTCGTCCGCCGCAGTAGAATAGCGGCCGGGCAAAAATTCGCAAAGTGCGCAGAGTGAGTTGTGACCGCAACGAGTCAATTGAACTCAACCGCCGACTCAGGGTGTATTGCCATCAGCAGCATGGAGACAACCGGCCTGTCGCGGGGCGCCGGTTCCGGACCAGTCTGACCGACCCCTCGGCCGGCCGCCTCCGTGGGCGGACTTTTGAAGTTTCAATTCTCTGTTTCCATTCTCAACAAAACAAGACGCCGCAATGCCCCCAAGCTTTGCTCAACTTCGAGCCCTCACATGGTTTCGCCACGCTTTAGAAAAAAAAAAAAAAAAAAGCAAAGCGTCAACATAGGATTGGCCTGCTGCGCGATACAATACATACCCATTAAAAAGCTCGGCACCGACTCGGCATTTCCGTCCCCAAGTGCGGTCAGACAAGTTCAGGTTTCCGCACCGCCAGAGGCCGGAGGCGAATAGGAAAGCGTGCGATGGGCATTACGCAAAAATTCCACCCATGCATGGGAAATCTTCTCTCGCTAGCCAGAGTTTGCCTCTGTCCCTTTTCCTACTCCTGTAAACTTGCATTTCCCATGTTTGCAAAGACTCTCTTTCGTAGTGCCGGACGACGACTTGTGATACTTGACAGCAGCATCTTTAACCAACACGGCAGGACATTTCCGCAATTCCGAGTTCGGCAACGCAGTCTTCAACTACACCACTTGTAACCACATGCCCTGCCGTGACAAGTCACCCTCCTACCGCTGCCAACATGTAGATGCAGGACTCCTCACCAACACGCACCTGGACCAAGATGCCCCCGGCCTCGCGGCCAACGCACACCAACAACGGCCTCCTCCGGCCGGCATGCAGCCACAAACAGACGGGGAGCCGGCCAGCAAGCTCGCCAGAGAACCAGTCGCCTGGCGAGACTTGCCGCGGAGGAGGCAGCTCATCATCATCACGCTGGCTCGCATGAGTGAGCCTCTGGTCCAGACATCCCTGCAGGTACGTTGGTTCCTCGCCGTCCCCAGAAAGCCAAACTCACAAGACGCTTACGCTCTGCCTTCTTTCCCTTGCTCCCCTCCCGCAACAGTCATACATGTACTACCAGCTGAAGTGGTTCAGCCCCGAGTCCCCCGACGCCCTCATATCCAGGCAGGCAGGCATCCTGCACGCCTCCTTCATGGCGGCGCAGTTCCTGACGGCCATGGCATGGGGCCGCGTCGCCGACTCCCCCCGCGCCGGCCGCAAGACGGTCCTGCTCATCGGCCTGCTGGGCACGAGCCTGTCCTGCCTGGGCTTCGGCTTCTCCACGAGCTTCCGCCAGGCGCTGGTCTTTCGCACCCTGGGCGGCAGCACCAACGGGAATATCGGCGTCATGAGAACAATGTACGTCTGCCGGCTGCTGCCACCTCAAAGACTCTAAATCTTTTGCGAAAGAAAGTCGTCAGAGCAAGCAAGAAGAGGGATGCTAACAAAGCTGGCAGGATCTCGGAAATCATCCGTGAAAAGAGGTTCCAAGCCCGTGCATTCCTCCTCCTCCCCATGACGTTCAACATTGGCGTCATCGTCGGTCCCATGCTGGGTGGCATCCTGTCCGACCCGGCGGGCACGTATCCCCGTCTGTTCGGCCACGTCCGCTTCTTTGTCGACTTCCCCTACGCGGCGCCCAACATTGTCAGCTGCGTGTTTCTCCTGCTCGCCGCGGCAGCAGTGTGGCTGGGCCTCGAGGAGACGCTCGACTCGCTGCGGGACGCGCCGCCGGACCTGGGAACCCGCGCGGGCTCGCGCCTCGCCGGTCTCCTGCGCAGCGTGTTCCGCCGCGGCCACGCAGAGGCGGGATACGTGCCGATTCCGTCGGATGCGCTGGAGCTCGCGACCGATGGCGGCGGTGGTGATGGCAGCGCGCAGGGAAAGCTGCCGGCGAGGCGGTACACACGCCGGTTGCCGTTTCGCCGGATATTCACGCGGAATGTCGCCTTGACGCTGTTTGCCCAGTTCTTCCTCACGTTCCACATCGGCACCTTCAACTCGCTTTGGTTTGTCTTCCTCTCGACGCCCGTGTTTGATCCGTCTGCTTCGGACCACGGCGTCCGGTTGCCCTTTCGTTTCACCGGCGGTATAGGCATGCATCCGCAGGCCGTTGGTGTGGCCATGGCCATCCTGGGCGTCATTGGCATCGCTTTGCAACTCTTTTTCTACCCTCGCATGTCGGAGCGGCTGGGCACGCTCATGTCTTGGCGTGTGTTCCTCCTCTTGTTCCCGATGGCTTACTTCCTTGTCCCGTACTTGTCCGTTGTTCCGAGTACTTCTGGGCCGCCGCACAGCAAGACCGGAGCCGCAATTTGGCTATCCATTTGTGGGGTGCTCTTTATACAAGTCATGGGTAGGACGTTTGCTTTGCCAAGTCAGGCCATTCTGATTAATAACTGCTCGCCGCACCCAAGCGTGCTGGGGACTGTACATGGCCTAGGACAGAGCGTCAGTAGTTTTGCGAGAACCGTCGGACCCATCATTGGCGGCGTCGTCTATGGGTTTGGCTTGAGCAGGGGCTATGTCGGGTTGGTGTTTTGGCTGTTGAGCTGCGTGGCCATCTGTGCATGTTTAGCAAGCTTGCTAGTGAAAGAGGGGGATGGGCATGAGATTTGGCTAGAGGGAGACGAGGAGGAGCCAAATAATGAGACCGGTAGATACTAAGGTATGAATATGTTCACTAAGAAAGAAAAAAAGAGGCATTTTAAACAACGCAACGCCATCCTATTCATGTCCTATGCACCCTACATATGAAATGCCCGAGGCAGCTCCACATCCTTGATTATCGGATAATAACACAAAAAATTCGTGCGCTAACCTTGAAGTTTTGTTGGCCGTAACAGAAACAATCAGCATGCCTAGCAAAACATTAACAACGCTTATGCAAACTCTCGGGGCCTCTGGGCGTTTCCTAGTTGCGGCTCGTCGTCTTCGCCATCCTTGTTATCACCGCTCTTCCATGGCGAGTTCTCCGAGGAGGACCTAGTGGCTTGCAAGCCAATTTGCTGTGAGGGTGGCTCGTAGCCTGGCGGATGCCTTGAAGAGTAGCCCGCGTTGTAACCAGAGCTTTGTCGCCACGTGTGTGACTGTTGAGCACCAACAGGTTGGAATTTATGACTCTTGATGGGAAAGTACCATAGTCTCAACAGAACGGCTGCAACAGTGAAAACGCATACGAATACTCCGAAAACGATGGCTGATGTGCCCTTCAGAGCAAAGGTAAACCCGCTGCACTATGTATTAGCAAAAATAAAAGAGAAAAAAGACCGCGAGAAAAAAGTCTGCAACGGACGGGTGGAAGACGTACATGACGCCGTTGACGGCAGCTAGAAGAAGAATCAGTCTTCCTAACCACACGTGTATTTTGCCAAAAATGGTGGGAGCCTTCGTCCGCTGGTGCTTGAAATGATGCTGGACTCCCAATCCTAACTGCGCCAAGATGAATGCGACAATGATGTAACCGAGCACTTGATGATGGTGCTTGAAGCTCCGGGACTATACGAACTCGTGTTAGCAACAGCAAATGACATTCCCAGCCGGGGTACTAATAGTCGAAACCTACCCTCTGATAGTTGAAACTGGCCAAGACGCCCAGAAATAAACCACCTAGCACGCCCATTGTAGCAACAATCTGATTCAAGGCATGCCATTTTGCCAAGCCAACAGCGGGCAAGAGCAAGATACCGCCGAAGCCCATGAGACCAATTATGGAAAAAATCATGAATGCGGCATGCAGTGTCGTCTTTAAGTCCCCCTTTGTAGTAACGCTGGAGACCTGCACAGCGCCATCAAGCCTGGTGTGCTTGCCTAGGACAGGCGCATCCGCGGCACCCCTTGTCCTCCTCATGTCGATATTGAACACGCCGTACTCATGATGGTACCTCAATCCGGCACTGGGGCTATCGTCCCTGAGCGTACCCTCAGGGCCAACGGCATAAATGGCTGGTTGGGCCGGCGAGGAGACGTCAATGTAGCCACCAGTTGTGTCTCCGCCGGGCCAGGTGCGACAACTCTCGGTGCACATGGCCGTAAAAATCATGTAGTCGTCAATAATACCCGTTTGATTTGGGATGACTGTCCACCGCATATCACGGAAGAAGAAGGGCTCGTAGTTGCCATGGGCTATGCGCGGAGAGAAGGTGACGTTGGTGCCGTCTCCGTTCTGGTAGATGATCAAGAATAATGCACCTTTCATGTCGTCGCTGCCGAGGCCAACGCCGCCCCAGGTGTACTTCTTGGGGACGCGAATGCTGAAAAATGTGCTTCTAGGATTGTCGTTGTCGTTGGGCACCGTAAAGGCAAAGGCGACATTGTTGCCCGGGGATATGAAGGTTGATTGACCAGGGGGATTTGCACCGTCGGCGCGAATCGCGGGAGTAAGGGCTGCGGCAACACGTTAGTATCGTTCATATCGGCGCGTTACTCCATGTTCGTGCTCCCATCCCCGATGATGATGTCGAAGCCGAGGTGTGTCGTTTGCCAGGACGTAATCTTACCGGCACAGGCCAAGAACGCCGCACGCCAAAGCGATTTCGGCAACATGCTGTAGGCGTGTGTGTCGACGATGCTAGAGACAAAAGCAGATATCACACAATGCGCACCGAGAAGGAAAAGAGTGCCGAGTTAGGTTTGAATGAATGAGAGGCAGGATTCGACCTGGCCGTGCCGTAATATAATGGGAAAGTGGGCGGCCGTCGCGCACAGAGTCGCATGGCTTTTGCGTGTTCAATGACCGGCTCAGTGCACATGTGTTGCCCCCTCGGCGTCGCGTGGCTGTAGCTAAGTGAATAGCCTAATACCACCAGGCAGCTTGAACAAGTTGTACCGAACACTGACTTCAAGTCATAAAACAGCACCTCTGACAAAGTGGCAGAGATGGTGATGACATGGTGTCAGCAATGCGGGCATGCCTCGCCCCTGCCCTTCAAGCCTCTTTTAACTTTTGAACACGACAAGTCCAGGTCGGCATGGAGGCTAGCGTTGGTTCAATAATGACGCCCATGCATCTGTCCTCCACAAATGCAGAACAAGCTGCATGGCATAAAAGGGCAAAAAATGGATCCCATGTCTGTCCAGATTGTGTTTCTAGCTTTCCTGACGCTGCGATCTGCCGTAATGCCTGCTCTCTGATTCGCTGGCTTGCTCTGGTGTTTGCTTGGATCCAGGGGCAAGCGCGACCGCCCGCTTTTTTTTTTTAATTCACGCCAGCGCCGACTACGTCAGCATGTGAACACCATCACAGCCCAGTATGGTGCCTTGCTTTGCTCGTCTCAGAAATACCAGACAGAGTGGAAGCTATGTACATACTATGGACTTAGGTTTAGGTATGTTTATGCTGTTGGCTGAGTGTTTCACACAATTGGCTACGCATGGAAACCTGTGCTTCTCTTTTTTTGATAATCAAACACGGCACAGCACCGTTGTCAGTACAGGGGCTTCGTAGGTGGCAGCGTGTTCCAACGTCACGTCGTCGCTGGCCATCAGTGCTGCGACAAATAGCATGCATTTCAATGTTCATTACCCCGAGTTATGCAAAAAGCATCCAATACATTAATGCGCCCCGCCTATTCTCTCATATGGACCAACCAACATTCCGTCACGTCATGCCAAACCGTTGAACTTCAACTGTGCCTGCTGTGCTTCGCCTATATTGATGTAGTCGAGCTATTCAAGATGCTGTCAGCGGCGGATACACCAAGCGGCAATACGTAACCTGTATGGCGCACATACCAGAATCACATTGGGCTGAGGCTTGCCCTGGCTCTCACACCTGTCGACCTGCTTTGTGATGGAGTCGACTGAGTTAGTCGTCTTAGTGTCAACCTGATCCGGGAACACGATGTCGCCGATCTTGATATTCAGCATGTGGTTCATTATGCCCATGAGCTTGTTCGGATCCCCTCTGCTTGGTCGGTTGACACTGCACGTGGGGAAGTCCTTGTCTGTGATGCCGTATGGAGTCTCCCAGAAGTAGTCGAATTCGTTGATGATGTAGTCAACCTTGGATTGATCTGAGTGATAATCTAGCCCGTAATGTATCAACACCCATCCAAAACACACAGCCCAAGCATTATCCTGATGAAGGCAGAGCTAAATCGTTGCTTACCCATAAAGACAACAAGCCTAGTCTTCGCGTCAAGAAGCTGTTGCAGCGTCGGCCACTGGCCCTTTGACAGCACAGCCTTTGGATGGAACGCATATTGCGACAGACCGGTATTCCGAAAGACTGCGTCAAACCTCTGAACCGGAATAGCATCGCCGTTAGTCAGAAGCAACGTAACAACCTCATTCGGGTTGCGGTTCATCCAGTCTGCGATCTCCTGCAGGTACTTCTTCAGTGTGCCCGAGTCCAATTCCCAGCAGTAGGTATGGCACATCTCAATAGTTCCGAACTTGTTGTGTGTCTGTGCCTGCAAGAACCGCACACCAAGGTTCAACTGATCCGTCACAGATACATACTGGTTGTGCATAGGTGTATTGCCGACAAAAGCGCTGTTGTGGCTTCCCACAAACGTCACCTCTGAATATCTCTTGCCGCAAAGCTCATTGTGGCCGTTGCACGCGGCCAGGACTGTTGCCGTAAAGGGCACAGCTCTTAGAAACTTGATGGTATGACACGCGCGTTAGTGACACGGGACTCACTCAATGAATTGCGAGGAGATAATGGCGGCGGTGGCGGAAACAAACGACGTACCGAAGCCCACGACACAATCGGCCACCAACGCACACCGAAGACGGCCTGCGCAGCAGCTTCATAAGCTCCTTCGAGAACGGCCTGTAGATGGGCCAGCCCATCAAGACATTCCATGGCCCATGTGCCCAGGTCTCAGTCGGGCACGTCAACCCAGGATGGCATTTGGAGAGGGTTAGCCCGAAGTCTAGCTGAAGGAGGTCTGGCCAACGAGGTGAGGCAATTCACCAGCTACACCACATGGTCCCAGCGTGGGTCGCCAAGGTTTGCAACAACGGGCCAGGCGGGCTGTGCATCGTTTGCAGCGGTACGGAGTACTCCGTACGGAGTAGACCCCTCCAGTCTGGTGCCAGATGCCGCCTGCTGTGGCTGCTATTGCCTGCACGTGTGGTGCGCCTGCCTTGCCCAGGCTGGGGATGAGATTGATCTGTCTGATTTGTCAATGTGTCAACGTTCCAGCACACTGAGTGTAGAGAGGCTAGCACTGAGTACTTGGGAGCCTGCAATGTTGACAGTGGCAGCTCATTCATTGATAATGGCAGCGCCCATGTCCATCATCAATGGAGTCCTTCAGGCTGTGTCGTCTGCCGAGGTCACGAGAAACAAAGACCTGCACACATCGAAGGATCGCCCGTCCATCGCGAGTCTTGGAGACGACGGCTCGCCTGACCTAGACTGGTGACTAGTCGCTGCAAACATTTGAAGACAGTTCTTCAACTTCTGGCGTGCAGCTCGGCCAAAGCATATCGCGAAGTGCTGAAATGGCAGGGACAAGGGGCCTGCGTTTGGTGGATTCGGCAGTTGTGTGCCGACATGGAGGCACATACGATAAAGCGGCCGGCTGTCGAGCACTATTGGACATGCTGTCTGAAATGCAAAACAGTCTTTACGACATCCTCTACCTGGGCTGGAGGAAGAGTAGTACTGTCTGTCTTGTCCTTTCGAGTCTGGTTGGACAAACGTCAACTTGGAATGTGCGGCTAAAAATAACCACGCACGGCAGCTATGAGTGCAACACCGAGACTGCGAATGCTCCTGGGCAAGGCCAATCTCCAACGAACTCGTCCCAAACCGCCGTCAAATGAGTAAAACAACGAAATATCAATAGCATTGGGATACCACTTATCCCTTCCAGTCTCGTAGGTAGCGCTTAGCAGACGAGCAAGAACCTGACTCTGATGTAGCTACGTGTACGGAGTACTCCGTACACATGTAACCACCCCCCACCAGCCACTGCCGCCTACTTAGTAGGCACCCCAGGCACCGGCCTATCTTATCTTGCGCGCCACTCTGTCCTTAAAACCGTTCAACAAGATTCGAAGAACACCCAAACCGACAATCACCACCGCTGCTGCCGCCTCTACCAACACAGCATCGTGATGCTTCATCGCTCACCATGTCGGCTTTCCTCTCCTTGATAGGCTGGTCCTTCCTACCCGGGGTACGAACCTTCCCCCTTCCTCCCCTTCGCCCTTCAAACCACCCACTGACTCCTTGCAGCTCGCATCGTCCTGGGTCCAAACCATCTACTACGGCATCACCATCCGTGCCGGCGACCCCAAGCCCCAAGCCGGCACCCCACGTTACGCCCAACATCGCCGCCGAATCCACATCCTCGTCGTAACCGCCTACCTCCTCTACACCATCTACGAAGCTGACCACGACCTTCGCCGCGAGCCCACCTACTATTCAGCCCTCGGCGTGCCATTCGCTTCCACCGACCGCGAGGTCAAGTCACGCTTCCGCAGGCTTGCTGCCTTCCATCACCCGGACAAGACGAGCGTCGAGGAAGCTGCTGAGTCCTCCAAATTCTTCATCCACCTGAAGCTTGCCTCGGACACGCTCCAGGACGTTGCGAAGCGATTCGCCTACGAACGGTTCGGCCATGATGTGAATAGCTGGGAAAAGTGCGCGACCATCAAAGACTTTGTCACGCGGGGTGTGCTGTACAACATCATGCCGCATTACGGAGTGGCCGCCGCCCTGATTTACGTCCTCGGTCTGTTCGGGTACTTGGAGTTCGGCAAATTCTATAGATGGCTCATCCTCATGACCCTCTTCCTCTTCGAAATCCATACCGTCACGAGGCCTGCCTTCCCGGCCATTTTAAATTTGGCCAATGCAATCATGACGCGGGTCACGTTTCGTGAACCCTATTTGCCGTTCCAGTTCATAGCGCTGTTGAGAAAGCTCATCTTGACGGTGTACATTGCGCTGTCGCACATAGGACCGTTGCTGGTGCAGAGCCCCCAGACGAAAAAGCCGAAGGCTGCGGATGACGAAAAGTCACTGCGGGAGAGCTTGGTCCGCCTCGAGACGTTGTCGAAGCAGCTTGATGCGGATGCGGGACGGTTGATGGACATGGAGGTTGCGCCGTTCAAGGGCGACACGGCCAGCGTGCATAACTTGCAGGGCAAGATGAGGGAGTGGCTTATACAAAATACCATTCGGGCGGATCCCATGGTTAGAGATGCTATGGGGAAGTCGTTTACGAAGCGAAGAATAGATGCTCCCAGCGGTGCAAAGGGAAACCGATAGGGTTTTTTTTTTTTTTTTTTCGTTTTTGTTTACCCTGCATGTAGTTCACATTTCAAGACATGTATAACTTAGAAGGATGTATTTGCGCTAGAATTGACATCTAATAGACCATGATATGTAACACCTGGCCCCAGCAATGTACAATATCCTGTGTTAGGTAAACGCATACAGCGTATAATACACGATTCGCTTCATGGTCCCCACGTAAACCTGACTTCATGTTCGTCGACGAACACATGCCAATCTATCCAGCCCAGACCCAGATCCTATCCCGAACTAATTGAAAGCCGTTTAGAGGCGCTGTGCACCTCTTGTTTCAATAGGAATCAAACACATGCCCACAAACGCCGATAAAATTAAAATAGCAGATAAGTAAATGGGTGTCGTTGCCCCATCTCCGGGAATATTCGCAGCCAGGATCGGTGCTATTAACCCTGTAATTCTGTTCAGGAAGCTTGCCACTCCAGTTCCAGCCCCTCTCACAGGAGCGGGGAAGATCTCGGGAGTAAACGCATACAGTACACCGTACATGATGTTTTGTGAGAATGCAGCAACGCAAGAAAATGCCAACTGGGCGGTAGGCGTCTTTCCAAATATTACAAAGAGGAAGAGGAATATGGCGGACACAAGCGTGGAACCAGCCAGGGTGCCACGACGGCCGAAGAAAGGGGACGGAGAGTCAACAAGGTATGCGGCCAGCACACTGCCTGGTACCCCCATGATCGAAGTGATGGCGTAGTTTCGGTAGGTCTCATTTGAGATTGTCGATGTTTCGGATGGTACTTCCTGACCGCCGTCGTGGCCGTGAGAGAAATATTGGGGTAGAAAGGCGTTGAAAAGGGGATACCCCATTCCAATGCTGGCCCAACAGAACCAGATAAGCCCCGTGGCCCAGCCCAAGGTTTTGTTTTGGAAGAGGGGCTTTAGCCTCTCTCCCGAGAAGCTTTTGAGCTTGTTGGACAGAGCACTAGACCCAGATAAAATGGGGAGGTGCGATCCCAAAGCTTCAGGTTCGGGCCCGGCGTCATCGTTTGCGGCAACTAGATCCAGGAGTTCTGAGGTGAGCCAAGTCTTTGTCTGGTTTCTGTACGCAATGCCGTGAACAACTGCCACGGCCTCATCCTGGCGGCCCTTGCTGAGGAGGAACTTTGGGGACTCGAAAAGCCGGAAGATGAAGAATCGGATGACGAACATGGCGAAGGTGACGATACCAATGGAAACAATAAAGTATCGCCAACCTTGATCCACGACATAGTTGGCGATAAAGTACCAAGCAGCTAGAGACGAAATCAACTGACCGATTGGCCACCAGACCGAAAGCAAGGTTAGAAGCGAACTAGACGCATCTGGGAGAAACTCGAGGAACAATGCGCCATCTACTGGTAAGCTCCCCCCGACGCCGAATCCCAAGGCAGCAAACAGACAGCTGACGGCCCCCCAGCTCTGTGCATAGGCTGACGCGATTCCAAAGACACTGGTAATGAGTAACGTGAAGTTGAAAGCGATGCGGCGGCCGAGAAAGTCAGATCCAATGCCCCAAATGAAGCTTCCCAGAGATAAGCCTACAAAAAGAGCGCTTGTGGTGTACCTGACCCTTTTTTCTGAAATATCGAATTCGGCAGATAGCGAAGGCAAGGTGAGGGACACGCCTTGCAACCAAAGATTGTCGGCGAACCAGCCGAAACCGCAGAGGACAAACAATTGCCAATTGTATGTTCCCATGCCAATATCACCGATGGCCTTATTAATAAGCTTCGACTTGATCTCATACTCGGTCCACTGGCCTTGGCGGCCTCTCCTGGTTTCCTTTCGCAAGCCCTCGATAGTGTATTCTGCCGCTTCCATCTGCAACATTCCCTGCGTCTCGCTGTCCGAATTTTTGCCCTCGGCCGCACCGGCTTCGACGTCATCGTCATGGCTGTCTTGTCGTGACTCATATTCCGTACGACCAGATCTTGCAGACTTGCTATGAAGGTGTGCTTCTTCTAATGGAATGAGCACTCCGGCGTAGTTGTGCACCGATTCGACACGGGCAAGTTGTATTCGGAATGGGAGCCTCATGTTGAATGTTGTGGCAGCACACCAAAGGTTGCAACGAGATAAATCATGGATTGAAGCATTTATTAAAAGATGAAGTGAATCTGAGAAGCGATCGCGGCCGCATATGGAGAATGCTGTACGTTGCGTTTGAGCTGAATGAGACCAGACTCTGGAAGGGGGTTTATCGACGACGGATGTGCCAGTTGGGGCCAAGTCTAGTTGAACTGCTCGTAATACCCAGAGAGCAAAGGTTGCGACAGCAACGAGCGTGCTGCAGACTAGACTGGCGAAGCGAAAGATTCAGGATCAATGGAGAACTGGATTGTAAAACAGAAAGTAGAGCAGCGATTGAAGAGTGGCTTGGGAAGGAACTAGAGGACAGAATGCGGTCGAGTGGACGGGTCAGCGACGTCAGATGCAACCAGGCAGTCTCGAACATTGAACGTCTCGTGCCACAACCACCACGGCAGCGGGATGCAATCAACCTGCACGGGTCAACTGGTGGCACTGAACTTTAACGCTCAGAAGTTAGGTGGGGAAGTAATAGGGGGTGGGGCACTCAGACCAGAAGCGCCGTCGCTTGGCTTCGAGCTTCGAGCGTTGAATCTTGACGTATTCCAAATATCCAGCACCAGCATTATGGCAAGCACAGGGCCAACCTCGACCATGCAAGCTTCGTTTTCATTCATGTATTGAATAGCAAATACCTAGGTTCCTAACCTATAGCTAAGTATTGTCCGTTGAATTTGGTGGGGTACTCTGCATGTCCCGAGGCGAGCCGACCGAGACAAGCCTCCCTCAAGTGGTATAACGCTCACCAGTTCCCTCACACCAGAGCAATTTTGTGTATCTTACATCATCGTCCTTCCTATGCTGCATCGTCATGTAATGAATCAAGACGGGAAAAAAATTTAGAAAATACGACTCCAGATCGTCCACAAGTAAAACCAAGCACTCATCGAGTGCCCCCGATCCAAATAGGGTTTTTGGATGCGGAAACGAAATCCCCAACGCCTTGCAAAGAAATGGGTCAGCATCTCTTAGCCTTCCCTCTTCATTTTCTTGTTTTTGATGCTGTGAAGGTAGGTCTTCTAGTCTTCTTCGTCGCTTGTTGCGTCAATGTTGGCTTTGGATGCCTTCTTCTTCTCTTTCTTGGGCTTCTTTGTTGGTTCGACTGTCGTATCACCTAGGTCGTCAACATCTTCCATGGCCTGGCCCATTTGTCGAAGTGCAGCGTTGATACCAGGTGCGGCCTTTAACAATGCCGTGTACTGGGCCACAGAAAGCGATATTCCCTGTTTATCGAGTTAGGATGCATAGAAGAGCGGATAATCACACTGCGCTCGGGGTACGCACCTTTTTCCCTGGGAGCATTTTGCCATCCTTTTCATAATACTCTCGCACGTTGATCAGGCACACGTTCTTGAATTGCGACACTCCCACGCGTCGCTTGTTTGAGAGCTGTGGTACGCTGAATTAGCCCACAGAACAAAGCTGGATGATCGCAAGTGACGCAAGAGACGTAGATTGCAGCTTACTTCCCAAAATGGGTTGCCTTCGTCATCTTCGCCATCAGCGGTGACATTGTGCTTGGTCTTCTTCGAACTCTTGATGGAGACCTTTTGATCCTCATCAGAATCATCAGCAGCCCGTCTCTTGGTCGAAGGAGACATGATTCTGTGCGATGAACGAGGAGGCTTGATCAAAATTCTCCAGAGTTGGTGCACCGGGTTACTTGGAAATCGACTGGATAAAAGCTGCGGCTTTGGGGTGGAAGCTTGAACCTGGACCGTGCTGCTTGACGCGTCACATTTGGGCCAGCTGCAACACGATCTCACGTGACAGAAATCCTAGGCTGCGCGGCTGCCAGCTGCCCTCGTTTCATGGAACAATGATGCATGTGCCAAAAATCCAACCGTCCTATTGCCCATATCTACCTCGCAAGCCAAAGCGCCCACAACGTTGCCCTTGTTGTGTATTGCAAGTTGCCGACGTTGATATTGATATCATTGAAAATCCCAATTGCGTACCAGTGGCGCAGGCCAGCATTGGCAGATTGGCGGGTTGACGGCTGGGCCGCACTACGGCAACACTAAAATTAGCGACTGATAGGGGTTGACTCGGTCCCAAGAAAGAAAGCAGCCCCAGATTTCCCTCCTCCTGATGGATGACCAGGGCAACGGATCTCAATTTCGAGACGCTGTAGCTTATCCAGTGCGACGATAGGACCAGACTCGAAACATCTCCTAGCACTCTCCCCACTTGGCATCTACTTATATTACCCAGCTTGATCTCGACCCGCGCCATAGCATTGTTGTGGTGCCATAAGCATCTTCCGATTGAGATTCTCGCCAAGGCTTGGGTTGACTCCCGTCCCATTTTACCAACGACGGGTTGTTCCCATGAGTTCAACAAACTGCGACGGCGTAAACCAGCTCGCCGCCCCCCACGAACCAACCCCTGAGTATGAAGCCCAGAAGCCCGAGACGGCGACGATAGGCGACCAATATGACCTAGTCAAGACCAACGAGACCGACTCAAGGGACCGAAATGTGGCTCGGGCGTCGACAGCGGAACCTACGGAGCTCGACGACAAGACGTCTGCCCTTGCCGCCAAAGCTCTCAAATTCATTTCCGAAGCCACGCCAGCGACCCTAGCAGGTGTTGCAGTCGCAGCGTCTGCTATGATATATGCCCTCCTCGGCCAAATCGGTCTCGTGTTAATTGGTGCCATCGGTGGTGTGCTAGCGTTGATCTCGCTAGAAACCAGAAATCCAGCCATTGCGCAAGCCGTGCGGGGAGAAAAGGGGCCAGAAGTTCTCGATAGGGTCTGGCTTGATCTGCAGCAGTGCAAAAGGAATGATTGCAACCAAGACGGCGATTACGAAGAGACTGCCTTTAAGTCCTTTGACGATTTTCGACCAGAAACACGGGACGCGCTAGGCGGACTTGTGGACGCA